TTTTACAATGAAAATACATATTTATGTTACTTATGTTTAAAAATGAAATGTGAATACTGACAGCAATGGTGCCATACAATGAGCACAAAAGACACATTACAGACTGAAATACCCACAAAACCTCTCTCAGACAACTCATTGAAACCATAGCCCCACACATCAAAGGCTAAGTTAGTGAACCAAAGTTATATTCCCCTGGGGTGAACATATTATAGATTTTATGCTACAAATTCACATGCTCAATATCAATTTCCATTCCACTTGCTTTTGCCTCCTTTTCATTACTGTTCATAGTTCAGTGTGTCAGTTTAATTCTATACTACTTTGTAGCTATCCACAATAATTACAGTGTTTAATGCTGTATCTTAAGGTTGGGATAAATATAGCAGTTTAAATGCATATGGTTTGGCCAATCTTTTGATGAAACCTCTACACACATCAAAACCACTCACCCTGCATACACTCACACATGAGCAGACTCTAGCTAATACCATATATTTCACCTTACTACTTCTCCATTACCTTCCACAGTATATCTGATGATGACATTTTTATTGACTCTATAGTAAACAGCTGATAAATGTAGTAAAAAATATATATACTATAATGAATCAAAATGACATGCCACCTACCAAAACCCCTCCACTCATTCTAATCAGATAATGACCTTTTCCCACCCCTAGTGTTTTACTACAAATGGAGAAGGCAGCATGAGAGGAAAAATATTCATAAAAACAGGGAAAAAATAAAAATAAATGTTTAGGTCATTGAGACTAGAAAGGAAGTGTACCTAAAATATTTGTGTCAAATAAAATGATAATTTGTCAGTTCTGTGTGTATTCTGCTTAATCTGAAGTTCTGAGAAATGAGTAGCTGAGTTTCGCATGAATAAAATAGCTAAAACACCACCATAAAACAGTCTTTCTGGAATTTACTCTATAGAAAAACATGAGTTTATTTCTTTTTTTGCTTTTTTGTTACTGTTGTCACTAGTGATCTTCCATAAATCTAGGATCTTCCTTTGACAGAATATTTGGTTTACAAATTGAGGTGAAAATAATTCAGTACTTTTAACATTTCCTACCTTATTTTTATTAAGAAGTGTTAAATTTTTCAATGTCTATTTTTTTT